CGGCCAGTATCAATTTGAAGATCTGTTTTACAGTATCTTTCGCCGCGATCCGTAACTCTTGCTTTTACACGATCGCCTTGTAATTTGATTTACGAGGTGTGGATATTGCGGCTGAAGCAGTCGGCGACAGAAGCACACACCTAGTCAAACAGAGTTTTGGTTTAGATGCCTCGAAGGTGCTGAGACGGGGTGATATCAGACATTGAAACTAGATTGAAATTCAGCTCAAGGTGAACTTGGAATCTGTAGTCATCGCACCGAAGACAGAATACTCTAGCATTATGCTGTGCCTCGACATGTGAAAGCCTGACAAATTCCGGGATCCTAGAGTATATTAAATCATTTTGCTATGTTTAAACCAACATAGTAGTACCATTTCGTCTGATTCCAAACGCGTTGAGATATTCTAGCAGTCGTGGATACACCAACCCAGTTTTAACATCTCGACTTAAATTCATTCAACGGAGGGAATACCTCTGCTGATAACAAAAAACGCACTACCGGGGCATATACCTGTCGTGCTCCACGAAAGCTTACTCCCATTGGGGAGACTGTGTTGCTGTTGTGAAGAAGTAAGAGTGTTAAAAATACCATTAGTATCAAAAGCGCAGCAGCCGACTAATACACAGCATAAACCCGGTGAAGGAGAGACATATAGACTGCCGTACTGCCGAGAAACCAAGAAACCAGGACGGCTATCCATTCCAGATAAGCTTGAATCCAATAGGTCCATAAGTAAAGCTTGGGAGGTGAGGTATTTATGGCTGCTAAACTATTCCAAAAAGGCCTCTTACCTCTTGAATATGAAGCGACCACAGTATATATCACTATGGAGCTAATGAAGTGAAAGTTTTGTGGAGCCGGTCGCGTGACAGTGCTGCCTAGCCTAATTTTGAGGAGTTGAAATAAAAACTCTGCCTTGCCCTCTCATTCCTTCTTACCCATCAACATCAATATCATCATCACAATATAACAACAATGCCGCCAACGCCCACAACTATTCGGAGGGATAAATGAGCCGACGGCTGCGGGAGTCAGTTAAATTCGAACTCTGTTCCTTTTTGGAATTGTGTGGGGCAACAGCCCCCCACTGGAGGTAAGTCAAACTTTTTGTTGGTTCTGCACGCGTTTATACGCGTTTTGAGCACCACTCCATCACTACTTAAATCTCTTAACCATCCAATGAAAGCCCAAGCTAACGCTATTTAGGCCGTCGACCAACCGCCTTCTGGACTTTGCGTATACCCGATCAACACAAGCCTACCAGCTCTGGTTTTGCCGTGTTTTCTTCTCATGAGGAGGTAAGTCTTCACTAGATGTGGATTTCACAGTCGCTTTAGACTCACTTTCTACCAAAGGCTGCCGAGTCTCTCTGCTCATTCAATTGGGCTGGATTTTGCTTGATGCAAAGACTTCTGAGGAGGTGAGTGTCGTCCCCTTTTCCACTCACTTCACCTTAAATTACATTTCTAAGTCGGAACAACAGGACCACAGGAAATCGACTTTGGTGAAGCCTATCAACACACCCATTACGCCTCTATGTAGTAAGTACCCTATCCTCTCACCACGGTAATGTTAGATCCCCGTGCCCTGACACCTTGAATAGCTTCTCTTACCACGCTTACATGGGAGCATGTTCGCAACGCCCAGAAGATTGGATTTGCCCTTGCCGATGGTCTCAAATCCAGCGCCGCACCACCTGTTTCCGTTGCTCTTTCCCACTTTCTCAAGAGATGGGCCACAGCGATCCAATGGGATATCCTTATGGATACGGACCACCAATGATGCAGCATGGCCGTCGGAAGTCTCTCGATCTGGACGTGCTATCGAAAATCTGAAGCCGACGTTGGAATCGAGCGGGCCGCGCCCAGGCAGTCATGGACATTCATGGGCACGGTAGACGTGGTCATGGTTATGGAGGATGCTATGATTGCGGGACCGTCCATCAACTAGGATCATCCGACTCATTCCACCTATCCCATCGGCGAGCAAACCTGCAATTACCAACACGACACAAGCTCGAGGAACAGTCTGTGCTATCTTACTTGAGTGGAATTGTGCCGGTACGCAAAACAGTGAACTCTAGCCTACTCTTCGCTCTACTCCAATGTACGCACACAACAAGAACAATCCCAGCGCCTCCGAGAAGTACATGGAAATTGCTCAGGGTTTCGGGAAGGCCACAGTGGATCTTCGTGATCGGAATTTGATGAGGTCGTGGAAGATTACAACGAACACGAACGAAGTGGGAATGGAGGAATTGCTTTTTGCTTTTATTTGTTATTAATTTCTCTACCTATACTATTCTTTTGGGAGGGGCCACGCCGAGTCCCATTCAAGCAAATTCGTTGTGTATCAGTCCGGCGTCAATGCTTACTGTAATTATGCCCTCATCGATAACCTCTGCGATCCCGGTTTACTTTTGTAGACATAGCTGTACCAAGTAGTAGCAGACACAGTTTCTAGGTCAGAGCAATCACTATGGCTCGGGTGAAGTGTGGTGGTCTGAGGTTGTAGTATACTTGACGATGGACCGAATGATGTGAGCTGATCAAGGGATGTAGGATAGTTGAAAGCGGGCTGCAGTGATTATCGGAGTACTGTGGATGAGAGCGACAAGGAATCTTCTGGATCTTTCGCCCTTTGACCGACGTATTGTATGTAGAATAGAGATGCAAAGATTGTAGGGGTAGTCGAGCTCTGTTCACAATGAGATGATCTTTGAGAATTTGGCCCTATGCCCGACCCCAGACTGCCATTTGCAATCTTATCATGAAGTTCCGCACTGTGTGCAGGCAAAAAATCAAGCTGGAAGCAAGTGATTATGGTTTGTCATGTTCGTAGCGCTTGATAATAGATATATCTTCACTGCCGTAAATGTGAGCATAGACTTTCATCAAATTTACCCGCTGCAGAAATCACAGCCTTGTTCCAGTGGTCCCCTGAGGCAACAGTATTCGTCGGAATTATTCTAGTGCCGGCTCCAATTGAACGCCCACCAAGCTTTCCACAACCTTGCCCTTCCGATCTTTGCCAAAAACAGCACCATATATAAGAATACATGGGAATATCTACCCTTCTTCTCAGAATAGTGCGATCATACACGTATGTGTTTCTCTTTTTGCATTCCTAATCTTCGCACTCCAAGAGTGCAGTTTCTGATTGAACACTTCGATTTTTTCTACTTTTGGCACGATTCCCACACTTGGAAAGCTAACATAACGTACAGGTAATATATTTTGATGTGTCCCCTGGGACACCGCTCTTATGCTCCCAATTCTCCTTCTACTGTGGCGACGAGTCACTGGACACGTCCAATTCATCCTCAATCATTTCGAGAATCTAGCCCTCCTGACAATTACCCTTGTCCAAGACCGAACGCCGCACGAAAGCGATTTGGTTGCTCTGCTCGGCAAGAGCACATCGCCTGATACGATCAAAGCCTTTGTAAAGGCTAACTACGCCGCGGAATTTCAGGTATCACAATGCGTGGAGTTGAATTTGGCTAGGAGGTGGGCTACGGCAAGGAGGGACGAGCTGCTCAAAGATACTGTTCGCTTGTTGAACAAGGAGTGCTGCATAAGCTATTCTGTAGCGTTGATTTCATTCTGGTGGGCTGCAAGAAGTATGCACAGCAGGATTGAACTTCTTCACGATGCTCAATCTTCACTTCCCATCACTCGTTTTGATTGCACTCGCCATCAAAATCATTCGAAGCTTCAAAATCTGTCTCTGCCACTACCATGAGACTCCAGCCCGGTTCCCAGCTCCCTGACCTCGAGGCGTAAAAAGGGAGGGGGGAGTGTGGGGAGAAGGAGCGGACGAGGGTGGAGGTAGTGACGTAGTAATAGCAGATATGGACGCAATCAAGGTAATTATAATTCCCCAGTGTTGAAAATCTAGCAGAAACTAACACTTAACACAGTGGCGACGAGGCTGTTAGAGGATAGTGAAGATCGGCAGGTAGCTTCACCTTGTAGTTTTATAGAAGCGGCGAAGACTGTCCTGAAAGCGGAGGAGGCGGTGTATTTAAGGGAAAAAAGTCACTCACAAGACGATCGGTAGCAGGCATGTCATTCTCTCTTCTTTCCTCTGGATCTGACTAACAAGCTACGCAGTGGACTGTCCCTTATATCTCGAAGACGTGGCTTCGTTCGAGGGGAATATAGAGGCTACCCCGATTCAGCAGTGACCGCAGTTATAAAACAAACAATCTTTCGAGCTTCTCACAAATTTCTCCATGTGATTACTGTTTCCACGATCTATGTTGTTTGTGTAGTTACCCAACCTCGAGGCAGCTATTGACCAGCCGCTGGCTACCGAATAAGATAACAAACGTGAAAGAAAGGGGTGTGCATTGGTGCAAAGTAACCGGGAGCTTTGCACCTTCCCGGCCTGGTTGGATTTCGTAATGAGGGAAATATAACGCACGAGCTAGAAATATGGTGGAGCAGCGAGAGGAATGTCCGTTTGTGCCGTGCAACTCAGCCTGCATTGCTAAATCGAGATTCAGTGTCATGAATAGGACTTTGTCACTCTAGGGAGCAATTTGACTATGTTCACAAATGATGAGATCTGGGAGATGGAAATCCGAAGCTACTAGCTGAAGTGACACTCTTCTATCTATCCCCAACAAATGCAACTAATCATAGTGACACTTGCTCAATCGCGTAGAATGACACAGAGTTCATCATGTTTCATAATACTTTGCGCCAAATTTAACGTGGCGAGTACTCGCAATACCCTCTATCACGAATTCCCGTCCACAAATGTCTTTTGTTCTTGAGTACAACAGGGCGGAATTCAAGCAGCCGGGCGCTTTTAAGTTTGTACGAATAGAAGACTCTCGTCTTTGCGGAAAGAACAAAGATTATAGTGCTCTAATCGTGCCACACAACTTTGATATCATGACAAATTACACTCATCGAACTTCGCTTTCATCAAAAAATTTCGACATCAATGATTATGGTTGTGGGCAAGCATATCTTGAAATGGTCACAGGCATTGCAGCTAAGTGGTTAAAGCGATTGACTAGAATTCAAGTTCAATTCTTCGGAGACCAGTTTCGAATCCTGTCAATGTCGTAATGGGTTTTCTTTTTTCACATCATATCAAATCTATTTTCTTCTGATTTGAAAATTGACAGTAGGGCCAGCGCTTGTGGAAAGGTAGATTACTATTATCTTCTAATCAATACTAGCTGAAACAGAGGTCTCACATACTTGTTAGATAGTTTTAGTCAGTTTGAACCCTTTACACGTGGGTCCGCGATTTTGGTTCACCTCCGGTCACATCTCTCGCGCCCCAGCTAGGCGCTTTCAAGTTATCGCTTGTTGTTTTCTATTAATCCTATTTCAGCATAAATATAATCCGTACTTTGGCCTGTAAAGTCGGGGGCCTGACGCGTTTATTCAGCGTTAACATTTATCGTCGATATCTCCGTGCTTACGATGAGATCATCTTTAGTTCTTCTATTGCAGTCTGGACTAATCCTGAGTCAAATCCTCCAGTGAAGCCGCATCATATGTGAGCAGATTATTCACACTTGCAGTCTTGCAGTCTTACTATCAATGGATTCAGCCGAAAGCCGTCGCGTTCCGCGCATTGCCCACCAACCTCATCTCTCATCAAACTTGCGACTCAGAACATCAGCCTCTGACAGTCCTCGGTGTTTGACAGCTTTGCTCTCTTCTGAATCATACAATTATTTTCTTATCCGCTAATGTTCTAGACTCCGGTTTTACGTATTCCGTCTCCAATGAGCCGCAGGTCATTAGAAGAAGGCCCGGCGCTTATCACTACTCTTTGAATTGATGTTCTTTTGTGACATCATCGCTCAACCACTCACGTATCTCCCTCAGAGCATCTAGATCGTTACTTGGAGGTGAAGTTTGAACATCCTCATCATACCACTCGTACGTCCGTCCTACCCCCTCCAAAGATTCCCCAATTTGACGACAGGAGTCAAAATCAATGATAACTGGCGTGTCGTCGTGTAATAACATAATATTAGAGGGGTTTATGTCATTATGAACAAGGTTCAACTGATGAAGATGGCGCAGGCCGTTCTCAACTCCTTGTAAGACCTTGCCTGGATTCTTAAGCGTCTGGCGATCGAATGTGAATGCTCTTTTCCCATCGCCTTCTGGGTTCACCCTCTTCATAAGAGTTTGTGGATACTTGGTAAAGCAAATTCCCGTAATTTCATGATCGCGGGATTCGCTCGCGAGACTTTCGCAACTGAGGTATTCCGCAATATTCGGATGGGGATGCTTTTGAAGGAATTCGCAGGTTTGACATTCTTGCAGAACTCCCTCCGCAATTTGATGGGGGTTGTCGCTGCTGAGAACTTAGTCGTAGGAGATCAGTCGCGGGCGCTTGACAAAGCAATTGGACGGTAAGGGCGAAGGGGCTTGCGTAAAGAATGGGGGACAGAGTGGTCTGAATGCAGCTGTGGGGATTGAGGTAATGTTCGTGACGTCTTCAATGCTGAACTTCGTAAGAGATGCGCTTGAGCGACTTTTCATGCGTCCATGGTAGAGATTGTTGTCAACCTGATAGACAACATGTGTGGCTGTATAATGGTAAACTCCATCGACTTCTTCTTCGAAGAGCTCTAAGCTTTCGAGGACCTTCGCTAGTTGGCCTTCTTGCATCGGAGAAACTGTTGGAATTAAAGCGGGGTGTGAGAGGGGAGGAGCCTGTTTGAGGAGCGCACCTTTGGGATCAGCATCTAAGCACGAGGTAGACATGGAGAGCGCTGTCGAGAAAGTCGAAAATGAGTGAGGTGCGTTCGCCGGCTTGGGGTGAAGAGAAACGGCGTATCTCTGATGTCGGCGACGATGATAAAAGTGTTCGAGAAGGTGCAGTGAGGATCGTTGCAAGGAGTGTGAAGTGAAAAGGTGTGTCCAAAGGAAAGCGGCGGAGCGCGGTGTTCGGGTGTTCTTTTTAGAGGATGTTTCCGTGAAGATGAGGGTGTTGTATTGTTGATGGTTTCTAACGCCACACAGAAGCTGCGTTTTTAACGGCACCGCTGGCTGACTGATTCCTTCCCTGCCACCGGTGCGAGAGGGTTGGCAGAAGTCTGTTTGTTTGGGAACAACAGTAAATTGAGTGGTGGACGTTGAGAGTATAGTCAAGGAAAGGTGAGGACTCGCAGGATTGCGGGAGAGAGTGAAAAGCGTATACCTGATGTCGGCCTTGATGAGCATGCAGGAGTGGGTGCGGCTCTATCCAAGAGCGGGAGGGTTGAAGTGGGAGGTTCTGAGGAGTTTGGGAGTGAATGAAAGTGAGTAGAACTAAGGTACTACCCTAAGCTGTTGCTGCAATCTGCCACTCCAAAGTTTCGATTTCATTCCCAGCAAGCTCGCAATTGGGATTCATGAGCAAGGGAACAAAGCAAATTGTCACGAAAACGCCAATGCATCGCGTGTACACGTGATACTCTAACCTCGTTCGCAAAACTCGCAACCAAGTACTCCAGCTTTGAAAAAAACAATCATATCGATCTCGAAACCCCTCGATCCAGCATCTCAATATCCTCTCCATCTTTATATATTTCCATTTCCCTACCCAGTTATTCTTTCACCTCAGAATCCCTGTCCTAACAACCTTAAAGGCGCTCTCCGTAAGATAGTGCTTTCTAATAGGACTAGTTAGTCGCCTTGCTCTTACAATATGATTGAGAATAAGTGGTCATAATATTTGAATATCAAGTTCGTCGCGCAAGATTAAACAAGTTTAATATTCCCAACTTCCCAATCACTTTGGATAGTTAGTGAAAGTCACGTGGCCTGATACTTGTAAGCCAATCATTCCTGAATTGTCAGAATATATTAATTAAAGAGCTTGACTTACCCAATTTGGCACCCTTCTCGTCCGCTTATTTCCGCAAAAAATCAGAAAGCCTTTGACTAATGATGCGAAAGGCACAGGTAAAGGCTGTTCGGGAGTGCTGCTCGTTGGGACGTATGCTTTGCATGCCAGTGGTGGAGATTACTAATCTCAGCTTACATCTACTGCAACGTGACTTTGAAGAGTACTAGTTGACTGAGCTGCCTTAGCTGCCCTAGTGGAAAGCATGACGCTCAGAGAAAATGCAGTTATAAAGGAAACATCTAGAGCATATATATTGTTCAAATTTGACAATCATCTTCTTTTCTCGTAGCAACATACCTTGGGAGCTTCTTCATTTTTTCAGCATGTCTCTCTTAATCAAAACGACAGTGCTGTTCCTCCTACCTTTTCTCCACGCCTTACCGACTCTGCCCTTTCCTCCACCTACTGAAATTACTATGGGCGAGGTTCCAGCCAATATAGTTATCATAGCAGGTGGTGGCATACCCAATGTGTCCGGCTCGGCAGTTCAGTATACTCAAGCTGGCATAGTGGCTTTGCAGCTATTGGCAACCCTGGAAAACATCGAAGCATTTTTCTATGCCGAAGCGATCCATAATCTTACAACAGGAGCGTACACTCTTCCCGATAATTCAACTTACGTTGAGACTGTGGAAGTGATCTCTAAAATTGCTGCGGTAAGTGAAATATTCCACAAACGAAGCTCCACGCCCTGATGAGACAAAATAGCAAGAAGCTGTCCATGTAGCAACAGTAGGCGCAGTCCTGCGCTTAAACTTTGCAACAGTAGTTCCACCGTGCCAATACGCATTTCCCGTCCAGGACTTCGGCCATTTCCTTACTGTAGCCAATCTTCTGACATCCACCAACTTCGGCAGTGTTATAGGAGTACAAGAACAACTCAGCGGAACTGACCTTGCCATCGCATCATCGACGACTAGTATCATAGCTGTAGAAGCCAGGCACGACGCTTTCCTTCGAATTATGCACGGCTTAATTCCCAATCCTTCTCCTTTTGACAGTGGCTTACCTGTTGCGTGGGCCTACAACATTGGGTTACAACTGATCGTACCAGGAAGCTGCCCGGTGGAAGTTCCATTACCAACATATCCACAACTCTTTATTGACGGTGCTCCATCATGGGAGAATTGGGCACCCGACACCTACCCTGAAACCATGGGATTCAAATGGGATGACCAGCAAGAGTGGGTGACGCGTGAGGCGGGCAAACAGATTTATGCTGCTTGGGTTAATCTGTACAACCAACCAGTCTATACGAATGTAACTGTTAGCGGGAAGGGCGTTGGAACTGCGGAGGTACCAAAAGATATGCAAGCAGTTGCTTATGTGGCGCTGACAACGCTGATGCCTGATAATTTTGCGGGTTTACAGGACGCGACATTGGCAGGGCCATTGGCTATTGCTATGTCTTGATGTTAAGCGTCTTGGTTTGTTATTTAATCGTCACAAAGAAGTCATGATCGAGACCTGAAGTGAAATTTCATTGCTCGAAGTTATCCTACCCGATTTCCAACTTTAGTGATCTTAATGCTTCTGATTGGGTAGTAATTGCCTTGCATTAGCTTTAAATTAACGAATATCAAGCCTGACTCTATTAAGTTTAGTATAAAGCCAAGATAAGTATATAATAGATCATCTCGTCATAATACCCTATATACTCAGTTTCAAAGGCGGAAAATAGACTTTAATGAGTCTAATTTTCAGTTTAGAGTACATCGCGTATATTCAAAATCCAGAATGGAACTGGATCACCTTCCTTCGATAGTGTAGAGAAACCTACGGCGTAATGTAATAGATCTTTGATATTAGGCCAGTATAAATCGGTACCACGAATATGCCTATATACAGCTTTGTTCGTTCAGCCTTGTTCCTTCATCATTGTTCTTTCAACTTTCGTTAAGAGGCTGGTTTTAGGATTCTACGATCAGCTTAGTCAAAGTCCTTGTGAAAGAAGAAGCAAATATGTGGTAACAAAGCTTTATAGGAAGAATGTCTTTTGTTCTGTGTGAGATAAGAGCTCTGTCTTACTGCATGCCAAAGAAGTCCTTGCAACATAGGCATTATCATATCTCTCGAACAAAGCCCACAACAGATATTCGTCAAGTACAACCCCATTGTCATGTCTCTCGAACAAAGCCTACGACAGATATTCACCAAGTACAACTCTATTGTCATACTGGCCCCTAGGTCTTCAGGAAGTGCTTTT